GTAACCTGTTATTGTAGGCTGTTAGCATAGCACAGGCTGTTAGCATAGCGTAACCTGTTATTGTAGGCTGTTAGCATAGCATAGGCTGTTAGCATAGCGTAACCTGTTATTGTAGGCTGTTAGCAGGGCATAGGCTGCCAATGTAGGTTGTTAGGCTCCTCAGCAGAAGCTAATCGCACATCACCCATCACGTTATACGAGTTTCTGTCTCCCATGTATCTCTTGCACATGTATATGCTGAGTGTCTATGTATGCTGGTGTTTTTTTTTCTTTTTTGCTTTTTTCTTTATATATCATTGACTGCTGTGCTTATGTTTGACAATTTGGTCAGAAGGACTAAGTTTATTGTATCATGTTCACATGATAGATGATGAAACCTGGAAATTGTAAGGAGAACCGCATGCTGAGCCCCTAACTCTGCCCTCCAAAGGCCATTGGCTGTCTATGTTTAGGTCTTGTAGACTTAAAGTAGTGCTGAGGTTCATTTTTTCCCTGCTCGCTTGTTCCATGCTTCCCATCTACACGTGTGATTTTCTGACACCTCCCCTCTTTCCTTCCCCTCAGGGATAATGACATCACTGGTGTGCTGGACCACACCTTCTGCGTGGAGCACAACGCCTACGGGGAAATCATCCAGCACGAGCTCAAGCCAAATGGCAAGAGTGTCCCCGTCACCGAGGACACCAAGAGGGAGTACGTCAGGTGAGTGGAACGCACCCACGGGAAATGGGTTCTGGCTTTTCTTAGGTTGGACAGATTTTTAACATCATGTTGCAAAGAGCTAGATGAGCTTCCTCTCTTGGGAGCACTGCTGATCTTGTATACTTGATCTTGGTGCATGACCTGACTTGGTCGACTACATTTCCTGCCGTAACCTAGTCTTTGATGTCACTGACCTGAACACGACCCGGTACAGGCTGTACGTCAACTGGAGATTCCTGCACGGCATAGAGGCCCAGTTCCTAGCCCTCCAGAAGGGTTTCAACGAGGTCATCCCACAGCACCTCCTCAAGTCTTTCGACGAGAAAGAGCTGGAGGTATTGGTGCGGTCATGTCCCCGAAGCTCATCCGTTCGTGGGGGTGTCATCATACGGAAATCACCCTCACCACCCCCACCTTCTCTCACCTGACCCCTGCCCACCTCCAGCTTATCATCTGCGGCCTGGGCAAGATCGACATCAACGACTGGAAGGCCAACACCAGGCTGAAACACTGCACCCCTGACAGCAACATCGTCAAGTGGTTCTGGCGCGCCGTGGAGTCGTACGACGAGGAGCGACGGGCTCGGCTCCTGCAGTTCGTCACCGGCTCCTCCCGCGTCCCACTGCAGGGCTTCAAGGCCTTGCAAGGTATCACCCGCGAGTCGCTCGGCTCTGCCTCCATCCCCTCTAAGCCCCGTGGCTTTCGGCCTCTCTGATGCTTTTGGGTCGATTCCCGCCAGACGGGACGTCCCGAGCTGAAGTGCAAGCCGTCGCCAGGCGGCTCCTGTGGCTCCACACAGGTCCGAACCAGAGGCCACTGAAAGTCGCATTCAAAGGCTGCGACTCCAGACTGAAATGAAAACATATCGTGTGCTGAAAATGCCTGCAGTTGTAAAAATACCCGCTGCAGTAGCCCTGGACGCAGTACGTGCTGTGTGTGTGCACGTGCATTTTTGTATTTATTGTATCATTTTATGATTTTTGTATCAATCATATCATTGTTTCCCACAATGTGATAAAAACCTGTAACTTTTTACCTTGTGGGGACATTTTTTCGGTCCCGACTTAGGTAAACTTAGTTTTAATAAAAATCTGTTAATGCAGTCAAAACCCTAGAAATGCCAAAAGTGTTTGGTTACTTATGGCTAAGGTTAAGGCTGGTTAAGGGGTTAGGTTGTCATTGTTGGGATTAGGGTTATGCCCATAGAAATGCATGGACAGTCCCCACAATGATATGCATACATGGACTGTGTGTATGTGTGTGTGTGAGTGTGTGTGAGTGTGTGTGTGTGAGTGTGAGTGTGTGTGTGTGTGTGTGCCGCCTCTGGGGGGGTAGTCCTGCTGACTCAGTGTCTGCCTTTGGCTCACAGGAGCGGCTGGGCCGCGACTCTTCACCATCCACCAGATCGACGCCAGCACTAACAACCTGCCCAAAGCCCACACCTGGTAAGTCTCCCGCCAAGCCCCACGACACACTGGGCAGAAGGCCTGCCTCAGAGGCCTGTATGCGGGCCATTGTTTCCGGAGCACGAGCTCTGGGGGACAAACACGAAATGAGATCGAATGAAATTGCATGTTGACTCGCGTATGTCCCCTCCCACCCCCCCAGCTTTAACCGGATCGACATCCCGCCGTATGAGCACTACGACCGGCTGTACGACAAGCTGCTGACCGCCATCGAGGAGACGTGCGGCTTCGCAGTGGAGTGACCGTCAGAGAGGGTGGGGCACGGCAGGGCACACAGTCCCATTCTCTCAGTAATGATGGCACAAAAGCTCAGTGAGGACCAGCAGGCGGGGGCCAGCGACCGTGCGGTGAAAACCCCGCCCCCGTACACTCTGCCCCGCCCCTGTAAACTCTGCCCCGCCTCCCATCTGCCCTGCCTTTCCTCTCTTCTGTCGTTTCTGTTTTCAGCTGCTAAAGACTCATCGACTTCCTTGTCAAGTATCCAGCACAGAAGGCTGGTAATTGGCTTTCTTTGGGTCCGCTTATATTGAAAACACTGTTCTGTCTCGTGTTTTCACATTAACAAAAGCAAAGTAGCGTGATAGGGTAGGGGGTGACAGCACAAGACTACTAGTAAGAGATTCCCTTTACTAGGAGAGTCCCCTTACTGGCCAGGTCTGCTGGGAAATAGGTTCCTCGTGGCGAGGTGGTTCTGGGTTCGGGGTGCAATCTTCAGACCTCGGCTTGGTGTGTAATGCGTCCTGTATGCACACGTCCCGCTGAGGCCGTTTACCCCCACCTCTAACACTTCCCTCCCAGGTATGTGTAGAATTGGTCAGCCAGCTGTTAGCTTCATAAATAATCGCTTCACTTATTTTTCAGTACATTTAAATTAAAACACACACAAACAACTCACTTCCATGCCAATTCTTCCAGAATCTAAAACTTATTCGTGAAATTTCCTTTTTTTTTTTTTTTTTTTTTTAATTGAATGCTCAGAGTATTAATGTTTAAATTATAGACTTATTTTGTGAAATGGTTAAGCTTGAATGAAGTTCATGGATTCCTGGTGGGATGACCCCGAAAGCCCTGATCTGAGAGATTAAAACACCGCTGTCTTCCCACACTGCCCCCTGGTGCCAGAACACCCCTCAGCTTCATTAACAGCTCAGTCCCGATTAAGCAGAGTTGCCGTATAGATGAAGTTTCTTGGGCGGATCCCCTTGACTGGCCCCGACGAGCAGGGATATGAGAGAGAGGGCTTTTCTCAGTAGATACCACTGATCCAGCAGTGCACTGCCAAGCCACACAATTCGATCCTGAAAACCGACATCTGTTTGGGAAGAAACAAGTGTGCAATACTAAGCAGCCAAGACGTGCCGATGGTCACAGAAGAGAGGAAGGTTCCAGTGTTTTAAAGCGACAACGTCTGCGTCAAGACAGGAAACTAAAGCGCACTTTACAAACTCGGAGGTGGGAGGTGCTTTTGTCTTAGTAATTTCAAATGACGTACCACATTCTGCTCCAACCATACTGCATTGGAAACATATACCTGTAATTTTGAGTACGTATGTATAAATATATATTTTGTATATGGCTTGTTCTTGCTGTTCTCTACACAAGGGTATCACACCAATTGCGCCATGTTCTCAGGTGATTTTTTTTCCATTATTTTAAACACTTAAAGCTGACAAAAAAAAAAAATATATATATATATTCTTCCCACTGAAAGGTGTCTTACACGAATACGGAGTTGCCATTGTATAGTCTGACCTGTGACCCTGCCCCTTTAAGAGAGGGAGCAGATTCACGTCTTCCTGTTAAATGTCCTTGGAGTCGGGGGGGCTGAGGTTAAGATTTAATGGCATGGACCTTGGCAGCACCCCTTCACATTCTGCATAAATGGATTTTTTAGAAACTGTATTTATTCTTTATTTCCTCTGTAAATTTGTGTTTAATCCTTTGAAGCTGCCTGTCTCCCTATGGCCGTGGACTGTTCTTAACGTCTGCATACACACAAAGCAGGCAGAACCTTTTTTGTGTGCACATAACATTTTGAATATTTAGCCTCTGGAAAATTTGAGAATCCTGAGATGGTGCTTTGTACAGTGTGGAATATTGTTCATAGGCAGATAACAGAACCTTTAATTTATCTAATTTAAATAAAAAGAAAATGCAAAAAAAAAAGCTGTGCAAATACATGCAGACATAGGTTGCTCTAAATGATTTAGCAACTTCCAACTAATTAATACCAAATTGTTTACGGATTGAGCTGAGTTTTATAACCAGTCAAATCCGTGTCCAGTGTACACACTGCTTCCAGTTAAGTCTCTCTCACTACATTACTGTGTATTAATTACTCATAGTCTGAAGCCTCAAGATTAATGTTAGACGTGAGGAGACCCACTGTTACTCGTACCAGGAGCCGATCTGGAAGTGCAGTCTCACTTCTCCTAACCTGCCCGACAAGCAGGAGTGTATCTCTTTATCGCCGACTGGTGCAATCTGTTGTACGTAACACACTATTATTTTATTAACTTTAATTTTAAGGTATCGTCTGATTAAATTCGCCACTCAAAGCTCCCGCGTTTAGCCTTTCATTTCCATCGTTTGCGTTTATCGGTGTGTGTAGCGTCACACTGTTATGTGAGCTTAAACTTGCACCTGTATAAAAAAGAAATATTAGAAAATTACTTGTATCCATGCAGAAGATGAGCAATAAACTCTATGCTGTTTGCACCTCGCAGCATAATGTTTCATAATCCTGTGTCTTTGTCCTTATTCCAAATATTTACTTAAGGTTGGAGTGAAAGTCTCAGGTCTTTATAAATAAGGAAAATTGCAGTTGGAGGGTGGTGGTCACTAAATTTTTATGAGGTTCGAAAGTGCAGCATGTAAAAACGAGCCTTATTCACAAAGGATCCAGACCAAATAAATATTACAACCTTAAATCCTTTCAACTGAGTGACAGGCTGGATGCTTACTGGAGTGAAAATTAGCACCCCCTGCTGATCAAAATGCACAGCACAATGGAGCAGTTCAATTTAATAAATAATTAAAAAAACCTATCATCTTGCTTTCTGCAATTTTAACAGTCACTTATGACAGTGATGTAAAAACCAAGTATGAAGTTATATCCAGAAAAGTTTTTTTTTTTTCCATTTTTTTTGGATAGAGTTAGAAGTTCACTTACTGGTCACTTAACAGTGTTATCAAAAACTGCAGAAAAGTGCAAACTGTACACAAAAAATGTCCCAAAACCATAAAAAGTGTTGTCACATGGCATCTAGCAGCAGAGGGGTGAGTGGGCCGGGATTCAGGCCCCAGCTCCTCAGGTCCGATGGCCGGTCCGGTACTGGAATGAGGTCATCTGAAGCCGCTCGCGGAGTCGCTCCACCTCGAGCTCCCGGAAGAAGGTGTCGTCGTCGTTCTGGATGATGATCTTCTGTAGCTCGCCGATCTCGCGCTCCATCTTGGCTCGCAGCTCTCGCCTCATCTTCTGCAGAGCCTGCAGGTACCGCGGTACGTGAGCTGGTGGTGGGGGTGGGGGGGGGGGGCACACCCTAAAGCCCCCGTCTAAAGGGGCATTCTCAGGACGTTCAGCGGTAAATATGCGCGGGACAATACTTGCCTTTCCTTGGGCCTTCTTTCGCACCTGGATCTCATGTCGTTCTTGTGCGAGAGTTTCAGCCAACAGTGAGAACTGGAATTGGAATAGCAGCGGGAACAGGATTTCGACATGGAATAACCACAAACTTTAAAGAAGCCCTGCAGATGTTGGCATGGCCTTCAGCTCCAGCTACCTGGTCCTTGTAATAGTTCTCCATGGACTCCAGCTCGTCTCGGTGCCGCCGCTGGTGCTCCTGCCTCTGCTCCTTGGCGTAAGCACGCTGTTCTCTCAGCTGCGCCTTCTGTAGCTCTAGGCCCTCCTCCAAGATCTGCTTGAACATCTGCATGGACCACGGCACACAGACGATCATCCTGGGCTGAAGGCGGCTGGCCCAGCCTTCCCAGCAGCTCTGCCAGCACTCACCCTCTCCTCCCGCGAGCGGGCCCTCATCAGGCGGGCGCGGAACTGCACGTGGTGGTCATTGTGGTACTTCCTGGCACGAGCCACCTGCAGCCTCTGCTCCCGCAGCTTGTTCTGGGCCGACTTCTGCTGCTGGATGCGCTCCTTGAAGTCGCGCTGGTGCCGTGGGAGTCAGGCGGGGAGGACATGGGTGAGCGCGAGCGCAGCCGAGCACAGAGGACGTCGGGCCTGGGCACTCACCAGCCGCTGGTTGTGTTCCTGCTCTTTGCGGATGATCTCCACCAACAGGTCTTGCCTCCTTTGCGCCTCCTCTATCTACAAGAGGAGCACAGCATGGGCCCAGTCAGACATACATATGACAGCCAGAGCCAGTCACAGAGGCCTGAAGAGACCGGAAGGACCACATGTTCTTCACAGCACGCAGGGCGCCCCCACCTGGCTAGCTTGTTTATTGCGACTTCGATGGTTCGGCTGGGGGGCCAGTCGGTCCACCTGCTTCATCTGCTGCTTCCACATGCGAGTAAGGGTGTGTGGGGAGAGCTGTAGATGGGGAAGCTCCTCCAGCAGGATGGGCAGCAGGTCATTGTCCTTCACCTTCACTGATACACACAGGGCAGATCCATCACGTATGTGACATGGCCACTGAAGACCAAATGTCATCAGACAGCTTTGTCCAAAACAGTGGTGGTCACGCAACGGGGATCTGAACTCATGGATGTTATCCGATTCCTGATCCACAACCTAAGTACAATCCCGATTGGCTGCCTAAGTTATTCTCTCAACAAATTCCTAGTCACTTTAATAAAAGCCATGAGACCCTGAAATGTAACCGATTTGGCATAATGATCTTATGGAGACAAGAGAACCTTGGAACTCAAACGCCTTTTAACTCGACCAACTCGGATGAATTTTTTTCAACTTGTACCTTGACCAAAGTCTTAGAACTCGACTTTTCCTGCTAAAACTTGTATGGGTGGAGACATGTTCAACTAACAATTCGGGTCAGCAAGAAAAATTTAGCCGCATCTCGACCAAAAACTCGCAACAGGACAAAACAAAACAGAGCTGCTAAAACTCGTACGGACCGAGACGCACCTCCCCTTCCAGACAATGACCCTCTCATACTTCCAGTATGCCACAGGTAAATTTCTCATAAATTGTCATTTATTTCATGTTTACTGCTTTTGTATGTGTGCTATTTCATGTGTGTTTTATATTGATTGTTCATTAGTTATTGTTACTAGTTAGTTATTGTTCTTTCATTAGTTAGATAGGTTTAAATAGGTAATCATTTGGGGGAATGAAATGGATTCATTTCATTTACATTTACCTCAACCAAATCTCAACTTTCCCAGCCTTATGGAACAAATTAAAGTTCCTGTTCCAAGGTACCACTGTACTTAAATGTTACTCATCCACCTCATTATTATACTCCTGACTTTACCCCCTGCACACAAGGTCTTACTGGGGGCAGCTTTCAGAGGAAGCGCTCTCCCTCTGCCATGGGTCGAGTGGCACGCCCTGGCTGTCCGGTGCTGGGCAGTCACTTTGGGGCTGTACGTGCGCGATGGTTTTCGGGGGTGGGGCACCTCTCCCAGTACGGCTTCCCGGTATGCTCTCTCCTGCTGGAGGAAAGGCGAGTTAAAAACAAGCGTTAAGCATGGGCCTAAAGAGAAACCAAAAGGATGGAAATGGGAACTGTCAAAGCTGTCTAAGGGAAGCTTAAGTACAGCACTGTGCCAGCAAGGCAAAGGGTTGAGTTTGTTTTTCAGGGAGCACATGGTAACGTTGACCCTTCTCCCTACTGTAAGGTTTGATTACTTTGGGAATCAGTCAGCTTATGGAATGTTTGCACCATAAAAATGGGCCAGAAATGTGCCCAGAAACCAGCCAATTAAAAGCTGCCCCCAGTCCCCCTCACCGCCCCCCGGGTCCCCCTCACCGCCTCCCGGGCCTGTCCCCGGGTCTCCTCGATATCCGCCCTCTTCCTCTCCTCAAACTGCTTCCGCTCTTCTTCATTGGCATTTCCCACCACCTACAGCAAAATGATCTGATCAGTACCTATGGAGCATTGGACCTGCTTGTCAAAGTGTGACAGTGACTGCCTGGTAGTGATGGAGGACAGGGTGAGACCCACCAAATTCTTGCGACCGTTATCAAAGGTAAAAACTCCAACAAGGATGTGCTGTTCTGCTGACGTCATCATAATGCCACCCACAGAACCCCGTGAACAATGGACAGCCCCTCCCCTCACCTTGCCAAGCCGCTGGCTCTGTGGCTCCGGCTGTCGTACTTGAGACCCGTACTGCTGTAAGTCTTTGGCAAGAGTGCCCTCTAGCGGGGCCTCCAGGAAATGGTGCATCGGTGGGGGCGACGGGGAGAGCGAGCGTGTGCGGGGTGACTTTGGGGTGGGTGCTGTATCTGTGAAATTGAGAAGACAGGCGAGATCAAGAAACACTCACACAGATGCAAATATTTACCTGAATCTGCCAGAATCATTCACAGAACCATGAAAAACGTGCAGGTAGACATGAAGGGGATTGGACAGGATATGGTATTACTACAAAAATAAATACAAAACATGGAAAATCAGCAGGGGGCGATTAACTTCTCTCAGGGTCCTAGGCTGACATGATTGTGACTTGTTTGCCAGCTGGGGCCCCTGATTTTGCCTGAGTACAAGGTTTTACCCAAAGACAGGCAGTGTCCCACATGGGGCAGACAGAGGAAAGTCTGTAAGGCAGCTTGGGCAAGATGGAGGAACACAGTGACCACTCTGCTAGGTCATAATAAGGTTTTAATTGGTTTAATATGAGAAATGGAGCTAAAAGCAGCCCAGGGGATAATGAGCAGCACGTCACCCTGACCGCTGTGCCTCTGGGTCCCTCGGAACTCCATGATGCTGTCGCTGTGATGGGACTGCTTGTCCTCCTCCCTGGTGCCGCTAGTCTCCAGAGACTCCCCCAGGGCTCTCTTCAGCATCTGCGGAGACAAAAGCAGGCCGTTCTGGGCAGACGGTTTGGGCGTCAGGGAAATCCACCTGTTATGTACCCTAACTCCCTGCACACGGTGTCCTCACCTGGTCATTCACCATCAGAATTCGGAAGATGGGATCGGTACCAGCTAAACGTTTATTGGCTAAAGTTCGACGTCCGAGCGCCGCCCCGTTCATGGTCAGGTGACACATTCCAGCAGCAAATGACGTGGGTGACGTGGCAGACTCACCGAGTCGAGCTCCTCCAGACGCCGCGACAGCTTCTCGGACATCTGGTGCAGCTCGTGCTCCGCCTCGCGGTTGCGCCGCGTGCGCTGGGACAGGGGCTCGTCCAGCTCCTCCTGAACCTCCGTGGGCCCTTTGCTGCAAATGACCGGCACTGTGAGCGCGACTCGCGGCTGGACTCGGCGGGACGGCAGGTGAGACACACTCACCCGAGGGGAGTACGGCGCGGACGGCCCTTGGGATGCTGCCGCGGCGGTAAGGGGCGTGGCTTGGTGCCCGCCTTGCTGTCGCTCATTCCAGTTACATCAGCCAGCGTCATTGGGACGACGGCAGGCTGGGTCTGAAACAGTACTCTCCTAGGCCCGAGCCTGGAGGCCTGGGAGAAGACAGGACAAGTGCTATATAAGGTTACCAACTCACTTTATGAATGATGCTATGTTTGCCATTTGCTGAAGTATAGCTGCATATCCCATCACGCTCTTCTTTGAGACATACATACACAGACAGACATACAGCTGAGAGTGAAGGTCAGAATGAATCAGCAGTCATTTATCTGACACCCCTTGAGCATTTCAGGGGGTTAAGGGACTTGCTCAAAGGCCCAACGGACATGTGACTATTCTGCGGAGGATGGGATTCAAACCAGCAACCTTCCAGTCACGGCCAAAGTGACCTGGCTTGCTGAGCCACACACAGCTCCCATCTGTTTATGATAGATACGATTTAATTCTCGCAGACTGTCCTCATTTTTTCTGAAGCTCTAGTTTTCTATCATTTCTATATCCATTTCTATGAAAATGCAATACTTCCAGGGTGGAGGGGTCTTACCTCAGTCAGGTCCTCGCCCACCTCTGCGCTGCCTCTCCTCTGACTGGACATTGAGGCCTCGCTCCGATCTGGAGAGCCAATCAAATCCAGTCAGACATCAAGACAACTTCAAATGAGTGAATTATTAAACATAAATAAAACAACAACAATAATAAGAATAATAAAAGAATCTTAATGTTTATGCATTTAAAATGTACATTTTAAAATAATCTTTCTGCATGTTTGCATCAAGAAACCAGTAAGAGATTAAACATAAAATACACAAGGGCACACTGACAAATGCAAAATACTGCATGCAATAAATTAAAGGAAGCTGCACACAGCATCTGGTGATGCCAGCACCCTCTGAAAGGATGACCTCATCGCATTACCATTTTTCTGAAATACACCAAAGAATGTCGCCAATTATGGTCTGAATTGAATCTTTGTCATTGTTCCCAAAGGATGTCACCCCCACGGGCCACTGCACAAACTCACCGGGGGACAGTCGGGGAGAGGGAATCCCATTAGCAGGAAGGCTGTCAGGCTGGGACCTGGGGGACTGGCATTTCTGTGGGCATGGGGAGGACACAGGAAGGTCAGAGTAACACACACACACACACACACACACACACACACA